TATAGGACTTGGGCGGGAATGTAGCTTATGCACTCGGGCATATTATAAGCCTATATATTTTTCTGCGCTGACGCTCGTACTAAATAAATTCAGCCAATTTCCGCTAAAGGTGAAATAAAGATGTCATTCACACATGCACATTATTCTGACACTTAAATCTTTATGGACTGACTCAAAGCTTTGCATACGCAATTTTATTTGACAGAGGAGAATGTATGCGCTTGACAGGTCTTGTCATTTAAATGTCAAAGGATACCTTTGTGGTCATTAATTATGACAAAGCGAATGGAGCAAGACTCAACAACACCTGCTTCTTATGATGTTATTCGATTTATTTTGGATTTGACAATTTGGTATAATTTTACCACAATTTTGTAAGTAATAACAGTGGTAGAGCCCGCTTTAACATCTTCGCAACAATCGGCCCGGCTCGCCCGGTGAAATACCACGACCACACAGAAGAGAGGCGGGAAGTGGAAGCAATTCCGCGTTTCATCTGATGAATGTGCGTCCCGGAGGCCTAATTTAATCCTCTTTCCCTTCCCATCCTTTTCTTCACAAGGAAAGGATGGGAAGTGGAAGTGGACTTTCCGGATGAGAGGATGTATGAAAAGGGAAGATATTTTCTTTCTGTGCATCCTCTCCTCCGTCGATTTAAGGTAGGCAAAGCATATGCAATTACGTATGTCTATATGCATCGGTCACTTCGCTATTTCAGCGATTTCACGTACCCGCTTCGCTCGTTTGCCACCTTTTGATATAAAAAAGAAATATAGCCTTGACATAGTAATTATTTTGTCTTTAAAATACACAAAAATGTTTGTCCTAAAAAAGGTGTTATATTTTCTGAATATCCGTCTATATACATTGGAGTCATTTGTAGTGTGATTTAAGTGGAACTTTATTTAAGTGTACTCGATGATAGAGACTGGCAGATGTCCATGGCTCAACGCACACTTGACCGGGATAGTCAGCGCGACTGCGCCAAATACAATAGGACGAGAGTTCAATGGGCGGGAGTTAAAATTAACCATACGATATGTTCCTATAGATACTTCGTTGATGTAGTGTTCGTCATTGTTTTGTTTTATGTAAGTATATTTTAACAAAAGACAGACGTACGGTGGGTCTAGCAAGAATGTTTGTGACAATAGCCTTCGTATCGTAAGAAGTGTATGTAAATATTTTCATCATGTAGACGGATTTGTGTCTATAAAAAGGTAAAGACAAATACAGACCAAATAAAGATTTGAGGATTGTAGAGTTCCTTCAGAGATACAAAGCTGAGTGAAACCGTATGCGGTCAGCATTGCATTACTATTTGTAAATATTTCCTGTTTCTTATTAATGTTATGTTTTATGTGTTATTTCTTTATAATTATTTTTGTGCTGGTTTTTGCTTATTGTGTTGTGATATTGGAAGGATTAAATGTTATTTTATTTATTTATTATATAATACTTTAGTTCAGATACGTCTATTACCAGGACTGGTTATAGCATTTCCGGCGCCCTGGGCGAGATGTTTCAACAAAAGCTTAACACGTTAGCTGCCGTAATGATTATTCGAAAAACAAAAAATATTTTTTTTTTCATTTTGTCCAAAACCATTTGAAAACATCTAAAAATATAGTAATACCTTATTAACATTGCTCATATACTTATTATTTATACGAATGGAAGTATGGCTTGTGTTTACACATAGTCCGACACCGCCTGATTGAAACATTAGCTTGTCGGACATATAGTTCGACATGGCAGCTAACGTGTTAAGTATTTTAAAACTTAAGTGTGTTTCCTAATGCATTTTTAATGTTCACTTTTTATTCCGTTTTTAAGCAATTTTATAAGCAAACTATTTAATAACGACTTTTTATTTACCTCGTCACAATAGACTCAAATATAATGGATTAATATTACAAAAAATATCGTACAAAAGAACTAAATAAAGTCGCTTTGTTCGTACACATTAAGAAATTTGTTTGAAAAAAAGTGTATAGAAAATATTTCGACAAAGTAGTTCTCATGTAGCCTCAAAGACATCAAACCAAGTTTTTTTTTAATCTAATAAATTAATAACAATAACAAAAAAGCGTCAATAGCCTAATGGTTAAGGGTACGGATTTCCGACCACGAGGTCGGGGGTTCAAATCCCGACATTCGACTATTGTTGTAAATAGCACAAGCACAAGCCTAGAGCTTAGTTGGAATCGTTAAATAAATATCAGTAAATTTACAAAAAAATCTGCTAATATTGTATAAAAAAAAAATAGATGCCATTGGGAGTGTCATAAGGTTACACTCAATAATATTTATTTTTAATCATATACTAGCCGTCGCCCGCGACTCAGTGCGCGCGGAATTAAAAAAAAATATAATTAGTAGCCTATGTGTTCTTCCAGACTATGTTCTTTTTTTATGATTTCCAGCGAGATCGATGCAGTCTGGAGATACCTTCTAACAGACAACCAGCCATATAAACATTCGCATTTATAATATTAGTAAGATATTCTTTCTATTTTGACATTCGTCTGTATTTTGTAGTTTTTATTAGAAACTGGTAAGATCTTAATTTTTAAAACTTAACAAACTGCCAAAATATATCATGATTATATCAAGAAAGTGATAAGATATGGCAAAGTTTCAAGACGTTGATTAATTTTAACGGCAGTAAATTTAAAATCTCTGTGAACATTCTGAACATCGTCGACTTGAATTTATCACAAAGTATGCCAGATATTTAAATGTTTTAAAATCTTCTAGTCGTTTATATCATCGCAAAGAATACGTTTCTCACGTATTTGCTTTTATCTATTTCGATAATGAACTTTAAAAATATGCAGACGAATTGATAACCTCATTATTTTTTATGTCGGCTAAAAATTGTATTATAAGTTCCGTTTTCTCTCTGAACTAAGTAATGATTATCTTCTTACTAATATTATAAATGCGAACGTTTGGATGGATGGATGTTTGTTTGAAGGTATATCACAACAGCTGCATGGATCTTGCTGGAATTTAGCACAGATGTAGAATATAGATTGGAAGAACACATAGGCTATAAATTAAGTTTTTGTCTTTAATTTCGAGTCGCGGGAGCAACAGCTAATTTTCTTATATAGTTGTAGCTGTGTTCTTCCAGACTATGTTCTATGGCTTTATTGAGCCGTTCTGCCGATAACTTCAAACAAATCCATTCGTACACCCAAATAATCGCATTTATTATATTAGTAAGAAGTAAGAAATCCTAATAAGTTCTTTATTGTTAAAATAAGATAGTAAAACAACGATTTATACGCGGGAAACCTCGAAATTTATTTTGTCATAAAAGTCCATTTTGGTTTCCGTTAAATAACATAAAAATTCTCACCGTTCTTATGTCCATAATATCCAGTTCCTGATGAAGACCCGCTGCCCGTGGAAGAGCCCTGTGGCTGCCGGCCCTCGTCCTCCGCCTCCAGAGGCAGTGGGTTCGACTCCATTTTGTCACTACACCTCACTTACACATCACTACACATTTGTTGCACAACACTTATACTGGTCTACCTGTAAAAAATAAAAAAATCTATATTACTAAACTAATTTTTTAAATTTAAAATCCAGTGAAAAATTGTTTCAAAGCGTTAGAAGTTACTCTATCAAAATCCTGTATGGAATTTGGCAAATTACAAGTAAAAATCAAATTCAGTAGTAAAATTTTAGCAATTAAAAAAAACTACGTACTGGCCACAAAATATTCCATAAAACAAATATTAAAACCATCACGCCACAGATAGCATTGTAAAAAAAAACTCCAATTTACAATTTCAAATTTCGAACGCTCTTCGAACGCGATCACGTTAACCGAAATTCACGAAGCTTTCGTTTCGAAATCAGAGCAAGAGTGAAGTCTACTGAAGTCCGACGTATGATAAAATCAGTTGTATAGTTGCAACACACTAGCGCAACGTGTCTAATCTATGCATTAAAGAGAGACGACTATATTTCAAACGTTCAATTCATTTAGGCGGGAAATTCTCTAATTAGAAATATCATTTTATAGTTATTCTATTCCAAAGGTCTAACAAAACATGCTATTAAATTTTCTATACAAATACCATTGTGATAATTTATTTAAAAGTTATTTTGACGTACATTTATCTAACTTGTTGATAAATCTTTGGCTTTGCCTTAAAGGATTTACATTTTGAAATATATCTCACACAGATTTCAGTTTAGAAATTATTTTATAGTATATCTCTCATTTTCTTTTGCTACAATGCTTAAAATTATTATTACCTAGCTGTCACCCGCGGCTCAGGCCACGCAACATTATTTTTTTAAGGCTATTGTTCATCTACATCAATGCCAAATTTCGGTAAAATTTAGCCGTAAAGGAGATATCTAGTAACAAACACCCATCCATCCATCTAAACTTTCGCATTTATAATATTAGTAAATTTTCTATTATCATCTATGTTCTTGTCTGTTATGAATAAGAGGATTGTGACTAAAAAAATAGAAGACTGACATAAAAAAGGTGACAAATATACTTTCTGCATAATATTTTGGCAATCGACCAAAAGCGGCATTTGACAACGAAAAATAGGCGGGAAATATAAGTTGTTTTTTTCTCATTGACGGATGTAAATCGTATTTCCGTAGTAGAAGTCGAATAACAAACAGAATAAAAATAAAACAGCCAGCAACTACATATATTTTGTATTTTTTAATCTTTATTGTTAATATGTTAATGGCTTGCTAATTTAAGGTCTACGAAGAGTTTCCGTTGTTTTATCTGTACTACCTCTCGACTGCCAGCCAGCGACTGCGTCCGGAATTTAAAAAAAACTTAATTGGTAGCCTATGTTCTACATCTATGCTAAATTTCAGCGAGATCCATGCAGCCGTTCTGAAGATATCTTCAGAAAAACATCCATCCAAACATTTGCATTTATAATATTAGTAACAACGATTTCATTTTCTTAGTATACTCATATAATTCTAGTAACAGATAAAAAAATATCCATTTACAAATATATAACGACCAGTTCTAAGATTTGGATGAAACGTGGGCGGGAACGATTTTGTAAATAGAATATTTTGAAGAATTTTAATTTGCTTTGATAGTGTGATATAATATAATGGTGCTTTGAATGTCATGATGATTTAATAACTAGCAGTCGCTCGCGACTCCGTTTGCAATTTAAAAAATAGTAGTCTATGCGTTCTTCCAGTATTCTACATGTATAAAATATTAAACATTCTTATAAAAATCCATCCATTCATACATCCAAACATTCGCATTTATAATATTAGTAAGATTTTCATAAACATTTTACTAATATTATAAGTAAATGCTAATGTTAAGATGGATGGATGGATGGATGTTTATTTGAAGGTATCTCCAGAACGGCTGCATGGATCTTGTTGAAATTTAACATAGATGTAGAACATAGTCTGGAAGAATACATAGGCTATTTATTAAGTTTTGTTTTTAATCCCGCGCTGACGGAATCGCAGGCGAAAGCTAGTCTAACATCAAAACCTTCGCAATTATAATATTAGTAAGATTGTCATAAATTTAGCATAGTAGAATCTGAAGGAAATCATAGGCTAGTAATTAGGTTTTTTTTTATTTCGAAGATGCGAAGGTGTTCATTCTTATTTCTTATATTGTCTTCTAAAAAAAAACTAGAAAGATTTATCAATCTCATTTCTGTCTCTAGATAATTAAATATACTTAAATGAAAAATGTCTTAAGAGAAATGGGTCAGAACGATTCGTAACAATTACACATTGTAGTGTATTAATTGCTTGTAATTTAACATTCATGTCACGACTAATTATTGTTGAATTATTTAATACTAGCTGTCGCCCGCGACTCCGTCCGCGTGGATATACAAAAAACTTAATTAGCATAGTCCACCCATCCATCCATCCACATCCATCTAAACATTATTAGTTATTAGTAAGTTAGATAAAAAGCAGCTCTTCAAGGAAGAAATTCGAAAAAAATGGATAAATAGCACCCTATGTCCGTCTCCTGGCTCTAAGCTACCTCTTCACCGATTTTCAGTCATATCGGTAAAGCCGTTCTTGAGTTATAAATAGTGTAACTAATACGACTTTCTTTTATATATATAGATTTAAAACGGCTCTGTGTTTATTTTTTATATTTTTTTTATTATAAGGCTTTTGAATTTACACATGACCAGAATCTTAAAAATAGAATACCTTTTTCTTGAACCATAGATTTAGATAGGAAAGGAACTAACAGAATGTTTGTTCATGACTAGATTTTACATGATCTAACAAATTTTTGTTGGGAAAATGACTGCATAGACCTGGCACATTATTTGGTTTCTTACGGCATGCTATACTCTTTGATAACCATTTAAATTAGAGTAAAAATACGTACAGTTTTAACCAAATACTAGCAGTCGACAGAGAATCCATCCGTGCGGAATTAAAAAAAACTTAATTAGCAGCCTTTGTCTTCTTCCACACTATGTTCAACATCTATGCCTTTCAACGAGATCCGCCTAGCCATTCTGGTAACATTCATCCATCTAAACATTCATCATCATCATCATCAGCCCACTATACGTCCCCACCAAGGGGCTCGGAGCCTACCCTAAGTTAAGGGTGATAAGGCCATTGTCAACCACGCTGGCCAAGTGCGGGTTGACTTCACACATATCTTTGAATTTCTTCTCAGATATGTGCAGGTTGCATCACCATGTTTTCCTTCACCGTAAGTACGTCGGATAAATGTACATATGTAAATCGGAAATCGAAAAACACATTAGTACATGGCGAGATTTGAACCCAGGACCTGTAGATTGCAAGTCAAGTGGTTGACCACTGAGCCACCGACGCTCCTAAACATTAACAAACATTCGTATTTATAATAACAGTAAGAAGATCATTTAACAGCACTTAGTAACAGAGTTGGTATAGGCTTTTGACATCGCATTAGTAGCTTTCATAGTTTGAAGCATTCATTGGCAGACGTCCACGCGATACTGACCTGACAATTATTGGATCGTTGCATTAAGTGCACTTTGCACTGCCAATGTACTAACAGAGGGGTTAGACAAAGTGCATTCGCTCCGAAACCATTCCATAACGAACTTCAAAAATGTATAGAACTGACAATAACTGACTGACAAACTGACTTTTGATAAGTCACGTGATTGTTGCGCGGCAGTTCCTTAGATTTTTATGTTGGCTAATCAATCGCTTTGGAGCAAATGAACTTTGTTTTACCCCGCTGATTTATTTATTGTAATCCTAAGTAGATAATTCAAGTGCTTAATCTCTGAACCACCGTCGCTCTAAATTGTAGTCATATATCTTCCCTTTCTTTCTTATGGAAAAAGGATGAGATGGGAAATAGAAAACTTGAAATTATTCGACTAAATCGTTTCATAACGACATCACGTGTAAATTAAAATGTTTAATAAATTCTAATAAAACGTTGTTTACATTGAACGAAATGGTACAAAGTATTTGCTGGATAGCGTTCCGGACAAATTGTTAAATATTAATTCTGTCAGGTCGCTCTCATTAAATATTTGACATTTTTTAATTTACTTTTTTTTAGTTTGCTTTAATCTATCTGCAATCCTAGAATAACATCCTAAGTTGTCATAGAACTTTCAGTTTTAAATTATTTAGTTTAATTTTGACTCAACAAGACTATATCGACTGAATCTATATTTATTTTTAGAACAAAAATCAAAAATACTTTTTCAAAGAAAAACTTGTTTTGTATTTAATAATAAAAAAAACACAACACGCGACGAACGTCCCACGGGGCTCGTTAAAATCATGTCGAAACTTTTAACTGAATATTTGTTTTATAAATAAAATGTTTTAGGGAGAATATATTTGAATTTAATAACTGCCAATGTTATTTAATTTAGTTGACGCAGCAAACCATAGTGATCACCATAACAGTGGTAGAGCCCGCTTTAACATTTTCGCACGAATTGGCCCGGCTCGCCCGGTGAAATACCAAGACCATACAGAAGACAGGTGTGAAGTAGAAGCAATTCCGGGTAGAGATTGATGAGTGTTCGTCCCGGAGGCCTAATTTAGTCCTCTTTCCCTTCCCACCCTTTTTCCTATAAGGAAAGGACGAGAAATGGAAGCGGACTTTTCGGATGAGAGGATGCATGGGAAGGGTAAATATTTTCTTTTTGTGCATCCTCTCCTCCGTCGATTAAAGGTAGGCAACGCATAAGCAATTGCGTATGTCTATGGGCAACGGTCACTTCGCTATTTCAGCGATTTCAGGTGGCCGTTCACACGTTTGCTACCTTATAATTTAAAAACATTGCAACCATTCCAGTGGCGTTTTTAGACAGTCCCTCGTAGCTCACGCAGGTCTATTAAAGATTTTGTTATTTAGACGCTAAAACTAATCGCTCGCAACTTACTTGTCAAGATCTTTTGAGAAAAGTTGCTGAGATTTTTCAAGATGGCGGAGCAATTCTATACAGTTGACGTATCGCTATGTCTGATCGAATAGACGACTCGCGTCGACGATTCAACGTGTG